ATTAGCGATGATTGGTGGTTGTATGGCTTGGGGTCGCAGGGGGGGGGGGGGGGGGGGGGGGGTGCAGGGGACAGCTTGGCATGAAGCCAGATGGAGATTGCAGGGCAATAGAGAGCGGCTATTGTCTGGTCATCCACAGCATCATTCTACCTCATGTCTTGCTACCAATTAGTGCAGCAGTGGACCCAGGTCATTGGGTTTAATGGCCAATTCCGATCCCTGAAATGCATCACAGTCTGAGATTATTATTTTTTTACCAGTATAAGTACACTGATAAGATAGACAAATGCCATTTGGAATAAGAGCAAAAATTAGGGCAAATAACCCTGAAGTCAAAAAGTGCAGTGTGTTTCTCCCTGATCATCAAGTCTTATCGCTGAAGCACAGCCACAGTCAGACATCTGAAGCAGGGAACAAGGAAATTAATCTTGGTTTCTGAGGAAGAACAAGGTGTTCTAGTTAGATGTGTTTAGGCAAAGGGATGGCAGAGTTCAAACAGTGTTACAGCTGAATTAAGTGTGCCTCTATAATCCCTATAAGCCCACAGCAGCGCTCTGCTCAGGAATCAACTTGTTTATCACACGATTTTTCCCGACCAAGCATTTCACACTGGATTGTTTCACCGTAACTCCTTGTTTTCAAACCCTGTTGTTTCAAGTATCACCTACAGAACTATATGCATGACCTGCAACTTGTCAATTTGACCCCAATAATCATTTTTCCACCATTGTATCCTTCTTAATTCTCACTGCTTTCAATCAACACATTTCCATCATCTTCTTATCTTCCTTCTCTTTGCCAACTGACGTTTACTGCAACAGTTGTGACAAAAGAGTCAATTTTCCCATTCAGTTAAAAGAAGGTGACATAGTAATTCTGTTTGCAGACAACCATGTGACAGGAGGACGTCAGTGTGGACATTGAAGAGACACAATGTCAAAAAGATTACAAGGCTGATAGTCTGAGAGCACGTGGCCATGCGTGGGTGCACACGCACACACTTTAGTGCGGGACAAAGCAACAAATATATTTATATATTTTGTTATTGTTTGTGACATGCAGTTGTTAAGGTGAATACATCATAGAGACTTTGTCTATTTGTAGTTAATAGTTGTGTATGAGTAAGTGTGATTATGCATACTTACAATGAAGCTGTGTCCCTGCAGGTTTGTGAACCAGCGTGTCTGCTGTCTCCCACTGATGAGTCCAGTGCACAGTAGTAAACACTGAGCTACACTGGAGCACCAGTGCACAATTCCACTGCAATTTAAAAAGACATCCATCCATTGTACGACTCCACTAATTTGCTTGCAAGACGTAGGAGTATCTGCAAACCAGGGTGATTCTAGTGCTAAGTGAAAGCTGAGCCAATGAGTGAAAAGCCCTGGGCCGTGAAGGGAGAATTCGCCCCTCCAGTCCAGACGTCAAGGTCCAAGTCAGGTGCCAGCTTCACTGCTCCACACATCTGCACATCCTAAAGACGGTAGAAAGACAGAGCACAGCAACAGCCCACTCCTGCCACTGCAGCTGCAACTGCAACTGCAAGCTCGACACTGAAACACACTAACACGATCCTGCGTACTCAAATCAACCTCCCCCTGCAGTCCAAGCACTAACAGTTTTTGTTATGCTTTCCCCACAGACGTCCATAAAATTCCAAATGCTCAGTGTCCCCACAGGTGAAGATCCTCATATGCAGAGTCCTGGAGGACAGAGAGGGAGCAGAGCAGAGTGTTTTTTCAGGAATGGCATTTCCTCTCAGATCACTGTGTCCTTCTCAGCCTCACAGGTCGGTATAGTCAGGCTGTGTTTAAGCAGATGACACCAGGCTTCCCAGCTATAGATCACCACAAGAACACGCCCACTGCCTACTGTAGCCTCCTTCCAACACAGCATCATCCACTAGCTGTCCCCACTGCTCTGTTTCTCTCCTATCCCTAAACTGCTATTTTGTGCATGCTGTGTTACCTCAGCCTATACATATATATATATATATATATGTATGTATATATATACACACACACACACACACACACACACACAATAACACACTGGTAAGTCAGTTCATGTTTTTGTCTCATGTGTATCGCATGTTTTTGCCTACTGCACTGTAAATGAAGCCTGGTTGTTTTTTGTTTTGTTTTTTTTTTTGCTGTTTTTTTTTCCTGCTTTCAGCACCACGGAGAGCTCTCTGTGTTGCAGGGGGTGATACGCTGGGGGTGTGTTGCTGTTGGTGGGGAGGATTGAGAGGGTGAGAGAGGAGGAGTCACTGGGTTGCCAGGGTGTGACCTCATTAGACACCCTCCTCTCACCCCCCCCCTCCCCCCACAGCAACCTCTGCAATCTCCTCCCCCCAGCCCTCCCAGCCCTCCCCTCCAACAGCACGTAAACAAGACCACGACACAAAAAAACACTTGCAGAGAATACATTGTTGTATATGCAGTAGCCAAAATAGAGCAACCCCACAACAGAGCAGCATGATAAGCATTAAACAGTATAAAAAGAAGAAACAATAACATATATTTTCCAATGTGCAACTTTTAAAAGACTGGAGCAAGTTTGCATTATATCTGCATAGAAAAGAACGGCAGCAATTCATGAAGAGTTTCATGCTTTGTTGACACTGTGGCTGCTGTGCTGGTGATTGTTTGTGTAACGGAAACACTTGTAAAAAGGTGCAAACCAGGAGTTGTGGTGAGCTGACCTCAGTCTGTGCTGCAGACGTGCAGGGCTGCACTACTACGGATTAATATTGTCATCACAAAAGGATTTAGGAGCAGATATATGTTGTTTTCCTCTCTTCCCTTGTTTCCTCTGTTCTCCCATCCATTCTCCCGCCCCTCCTCACTTTCTCCCTCCTTCTGTCTGGCACTTGGCAGGGTGGGGGCTAATTGCTGTGGCAGAAAGTCACAGGCAGTAAAATGAGGTTTTTACAAGCATGTGGCGGTCACTTTTAAAGAAGTAATTGGGATAATGAAGTTGTGAAATTAAAGGAAGGGGATGCAAAAAAGAACAGAGTTAAAAGATGTCGAAGGTCCATTCTATAGGATTGATAATGATTAGAAAAGTATAATATAATAAAGTTAGGTCAAACCTTAGGATGACATTACATGCTTACAGACTATAAATAGGTAAATGCTATGGTCTTAATGAGATAAAATGCTAAAGTGTTGACCCCTCCCGGCCCCCCTTTATGTTTCCACTGTAAGGGATGTGGACGACTGGTCACGGACAAAGGAAGTAATATAATCTGGACCGATTCAGCACATTCACACATCAACAAACAAAAACACAATGACAGCGCCCTGACCTCAGTGCCTGGTCCATACGTGCAATCTCAAAGGCAGCAGTTAAATCCCATTGGAGTTCAATGAACGCAGACAGAGAAGAAATCTCAGGGGTTAATTGGGTTAAACAAATGTTTCCACCTCTGGTTTTTTTTCACCAGTGCTTTGTTTTTCCACTACACTGGAGGACACTCCCTCAGGGACAGAGTGTTAGACATGTCCCCAACTTTTGATTCAAACACTTCCTGACACGTAAAGACCTCCGTAGAGATGAGGAGGAAGAACTGCTGGATGTAATGCATTTTACCTTGTTGTAGATGCATGTATTAATAAAGATAATAGAAAGATAGAATAGATGTATTTATAAAAGAATTCCATAAAAAATGTATTGCTGTATATGTATGTAGGTAAATTATTCACAAAACGCCAGTCATATCCAATGAGTCCAGGTCCATTGAGTCCAGGTCCAGGCATGTATTTACTGATATATTGAGATTGACTGTTAACACACAGAGATTATGACATTATTAATGGTGTGCAAACACAGACCAGTGTGTCCTGAAGCAGATGCCTGGTGCTCAGTTCAATCATGCATGTAATGACGTTGTATTGATCCACTTCTGTAGCAGGCTAATGAAGAGTCTTTAAAAACCATTACACCAATCAATTAAATGCCACAGAGGAAGCAGAGTTATTGTAACAGGGCCGACGGGGCTCCATGGTAGTGTTTGGAAAGGCTTTTGCTGCCAGAGGTGTGTGTGTGTGTGTGTGTGTGTGCGTGCGCGGGAATTGGCATTCGGCTATTTGGTGCAGCTGAGTGTACTCATTGTGTTCTCAATGAGTACAATTCAGGTCATATTGAGGAAGGCAATGGCAGGGCTGATAGTGAGACAGTGCCACTGAAGATGTCAGACTCTCATTAAAGATGTAGGACGGCTTACTTCCACTCCTCACATCAGCAGAGTGAAGTGGAGCATGAGGTTCCTTCTCTGACCGACACTGTGAAGACATGGTTCATGTAAAGAAAAGTTATACAAACTGATGGAAAATCCAGTCATATCCATTTACTTTCTTTATTTAAAGATAATCTGGCAATATTTTAAAATAATATTTTATTCAGGCTCTGATACAAACAGAAAAGAGTCTAAAAGATTTTATTTGATTGATTATTAAAATGTTTAATTCCTTAAGTTAAGAAACTCTGCTGCTTGGACTTTATTAAATCCTTTTTAAGCTCCCATGGGCCACACAAAACGGCTTGGTTGGCCACATTTAGCCCCCGGGCCTTGAGTTTGACACGTATGGTCTATCGTCTCACAGAATTATTGTTTGTTGTTTATTGCATGGTTTTCTGAGTTCTTCTTCTCTGTTCTAACTGTTGGGAGTGCATTGCATTTATGAACTTCCAATGTTTGATATTATGGCATTTTCAAGATATGCTGCTTGTGCTTTTTTTATACACATGTAAACTTAAGCTCCTGCTGCACTGTGTTTAATCAAGCTGATTAGAATTTGTTTATTACCAGTTCCTTCCACTGGAGATATCAAGTCCAGACATGCTTCTAATAATCACTTCCCAAACTTTTCACTGTTCAGTGAGACATGGAGGTGAAAATAACGACTCAAGTCTCACACATAGGATGGGCTTCAAACGGGGGGTAAATCCCTCTCCAAGTCCTCATTTTCTGAAACCAGAACTAATGCAACTCAGTCCCAAAGGGCACACATCAAACATGAACAAACATGAAGATTGAGAACTAGGATTGGCTTTCGGCATCATGACTAGTTTGCAGTCCTACTTTAAAAGAGAGATCATGTAAAATTATGACAGAATTATGTTGGAATCACCAGCTTCAGTTTATTGTAGCTCCATTCAGATTGGTTTCTTATGGCAATGAAATGGTCAATTCTGTTTCTTGCACATCAATCTATCAGTCTCCAAGTTTAAAACTCTACGTTACAACATATTTTATTGACATTATATAAAGGAAATTGCTAATTGAACGGTTTTTTTCAATTTTAATCTTCAGACTACCTTAACTACGCAATCATAAATTTGTAGACTCATTCTATAGACTCGTGGTAGAGAAGGACGTCTGGCGCCCTCTCCTGACCAATAAAGAACATAATTACATTTGCTGAGCAAAAATCCAAATTTCCTTTTAAGACAGGGTTTTTGACGTTTTTTTTTTAAACCAATTGTACTGCTCTGTTTAATTGAAGTGATTCAGGACAGTGTGCTGATGACTTAGGGCGCACTCATGATGTAGGAGCTTATTAAATCAAGCAGCTAATTATCTGATTACACACACCTGTGGTTTCCTTATCCTGTGTTGTCTAATGTGTCTCTTTACAGACGTTTACGACACAACACAGCTCCGTGAAAAAGGTATGATCAAAACACGAATTCGACTCATGTACATAATAAATACAGCAGATATGAATCGAATATTAAAATCGTTAAAAGGAAAAAAAACGTTGTGAAAGTCGAGTAATGGAATTTAAATGATAATGTCAAATTCTCAGGCATTCATAGAGAATACAATCTACAGTATTTTGCCATAAATTCTTGGTAATCATACTAAATTGAATATACACTAATTGTTTTATACAGTAGCAATACATTGATAGTCAAGATGCTTAAACAGGCACTAGTGAGTACAAATGTAATTAATAATATTTAAATAAATTGTAGTTCTATATATTTCCAATTGCCACAAATTGTTATGTATGCAATTACTTTGTTTGGTCTGCGACACATCCTGTCATCTTTTCTAATGCAACATTTGTATCAAACTAGAAGAAAACTTTATTTCTTATTTATATTATGAAACCACTTCGAAAAAAAATAGTGGTACGTTTATCACCGCAGTACACTAAGAAACCAGTAGATGACAGTATTCAATAGACACACCATCAGTACGCAGCCTAAAGAAGGGTAAAAGTAGTTGTATTAATTCTAAATACAGTCATGTTTAAAATTATTAAGAGTAGATTATTGTGAGATGATTAATCTGTAGGTTGTGTCCCAAAAAGGGATCATGGATAAGATGGCATATTTAGAGAAAGTACAGCTCCAGAGGTCCAAGGTAAGAATGTTCTCTTTAGTGTTAAATTCAGTATTTTTTTTTTTAATGTTCAAATTTGTTGAAATGCTTTGCCCATAAACCGGGTGCACTAGTCTTAGAGCAATGAACCAGGGAAATGAGTTGATGACATTCAAACTTGTTCAATGCGCCCTCTGCAGGGGTTGGAAGGGAACTGCATACTCTTGATTACAAACACCTTAAACAGTGAAAGTTTTGTGTAGATTTTCCTGTTGACGATTCTCTCCCTGTCCTTCCATCCATTCTTTTTTATCTTTTTTATTGACTAATGCCTGTCCCTCAGCCTGTCTGTCAATCACTGACTCAGCCTGTCCCCACAGGGACGTTGGAGGGGTGACACTCATCTGAAGTAAACAGAGAGGGAGGGGAGTGTGCGCAGGGCTGTGGAAACAGGCGTGCAGACAGTCCACCACTGCAAAGTGTGGAGCGCGGGACAGACTGGCTGCAGTCCACATCACTCTGCACTGTGTCCAGCAGGAGAACCACAGCTCTCGCCTACAGTGAGTCGCTCACACTCATTCCAACCAATGATGTGAGAATCAGACGTTCTGTCAGATGTTCAAAAGTCATCGTCGCCTCATTGTACTCCTGCTCCATCCGTACCCAACACTGTCACACACGCTGCAGCCCGGCTCCAGTCATACAGTTCATCCACGAGGACACCTGGTGTGAGATGCGGCAATGTTCCGAGGAGTATTCTCACGCGTGAACTCTTGCCGGTGCTTCTGGATTTTCACCGTGCAACTGTTGTTTGCGGTGCATGTGGTCGACGTGCAGGCGTACAGCTGTCATGAAGTGAGGACCGCGTTCCAACTGCGGCAAGTCGGACCGCAGCACCGGGTCCCGGATACACCTACCACAGGTGAGCACGTGGGTTTATTTCTCCACGGAATGTGTTTATTTTTGTTTTCCCAAACGTAAGATGCATCTAAAAAAACAAAAACAAACTTCATCTTATTGATAACATCCTGTATAAACCTTTATTGAACTGAAATATTTCTAAAACACAAGTGGATCCTTTAACTGTTATTCTCTGGGGCTCAGTTTTTCAACCTGACACCAAATTCCATGAATCTTGTCTGTGATGATGAAGTCTGATACTACCACAAACATGTATTCAATAAATTACTTAGGAGTTATCACATTGACGTTGCCCAATCTGTCACCCTTATCTCATCTTTGAGATTGAAAGCACCAGAGCTTCTAGTCTGTGCCACCCACAGCTGCTCTTCACATGTGGGCTGTATGTGGAGATTAAACTCTTATTATTTATTATTATTAAATAATTCTGAGCAGAGAAACACCTCAGCACATTTGAAAATGACTGAGAGATGCAGTCACCACAATTGTGTTCATCTCCTAATATGTGGATATAGTTAGTTATAGTACTGTGGGTATACAGTATAGTGGGGGTGTGTGATGTACACCCTGTAGATTGATTTCCACACGTCAGCACCACCAACACTTTTTGGCCAGTAACCCTCCAGACATTCAGAAAAATGTACACTCATTCAGACGCCTACATAAAATCTATACATTTTATGTTGGAATTCTTCTGTCAGGTTTCCCAGATTTTTGTCTTTTGTCCGAATGATGCTTGAAATCAACTTCAAATTCCTTGCAGAATTTTTGGTATGTGCTGCCTTCATGCACACTGAGCAAAAGTTATTTTCTAAGAATGGAGATTGTTGCCAAATCTGTTTTGGAGGCAAAACATGTTTTTAGCAGATTCGGGCTCTGGTTTAAATATTCTGTTTTGACTTGGAAGTTTTTCTCCAAGCAATTTTATGTTTTGAATGAAAGTCATGTCTCTCATGTGTGGAGCTATTAATTTTAAATCACTCAAATACAGATTTTTTTTTTTATGCAAGTGGAAGGCGTCAAAGATACGTGCCTACCAATAGTAGATATGCAACATAAAACTATACGTATGACCGCAGACGGCGGACCTCACTGTGTCACATGTGGGTCTGTGGCAGCTTAAGTATCACCAGTCTGAGCTGAGCAATGCTGAGTTGGAAACATACCTAGAGGTGCATTCAACCCACTTGATATGTTTGTTTAGCAAGGTGTCACTACTAGCAACGGAGGGTGTCAGTTTGATCTTATGCAGCAGGGTTTACGGTTTGGATTTAAATACTTTAGGCAACTATGGTCTACAGACCATGTCATCAGTCTCGGAGAGGGTCTGATGACAGGCACAGACAGTCAGTACAGCACTGACTGATGCTGTCAAACAATATATATATATATATACTGCATATTGTTATATAAGTAACATATTAACTTTATTTTATAGAGATAAACATATTTTTGTGTAGTTGTGGCAGTTTTAAAAATGTTTCTTCTTTTTGAATCTCACTACAAACTTTGGCTCCTTGGTTTGAACTTTTCAGCACTATAAATATTATGTTTGATTCGAAAAGGTTGGTTTTGTGTGGGTTTTCCTCCTCAAATTCTCTGCCTCCTTCGCAGCTAATCAAACATCGCTGTTGCTCCACCAGGACACTTGACGCTCCTATACTGTTTTGTTTTTATTTGCACCTCTGTTAGATGCCGGTTTGGGTCTGGTCTTCAAAGCAGCCAATGGAAGGGTTGCGACGGAGCAGGTCATTTGGTGTGTCGTATGTGTGTTTACCAAATTATGCAACTCTGCTTCAGTTTTCAGATGGAATGCCAACGTAAGCAGCCTCAAAATTTGAAGTGGCAAAACTTCAACTTTTTTTTTTTGGAGCTTGGTGTTTTTATTAGGCACACAGGGCTGCACTTCACTGATGTGCGGTTAAACGAAATCTCACTTAAAAGCTACAACCAGGGCCGTTCCAGCAGGGTAGCTAAAACTCTGAGCAACACGTTTTGACTTTGAATAGGTTTCCCACTTGGTTCTTTTATTTAATCTTAGCCTGTAAACTCTGCTCACACCATGTTAATGTGACAGTTAATGTAATGTTTACAGACAGTAAGAGTTTTCTCTTACATAAAATAACTATTGGATTATTAAAACATTTGCTTTCCACAACTTTCCAGTTTGTGGACCAGGTCACAGTTTGAAAAGAGTGACTTTGTCGTAATGCCAGATTCATCATCATAAAGATTGGGGACAGTTTGTGACACGAAGTTGCTTCTTACCGTGATTATTTTGAAGAGTTATGATCACTTTGGCATTATGGTAGACAGCCAAATGCCCCATCTTGAGATTACCACAGGGTTCTTGAATGACCCTCTGGAGATAGATCATTCAGATAGAAGGCTGTTTGCAGTGCTGAGCATGACTCACTACTTCTGCACTTGGCTTCATGGATAATGTCCTCAGATATGATCAACAATTTTCAGCTTAGTTAAGGCTATCTGATTGAGCAGAGCTTATCTGATTGCATGCATAGCCCCCAAAGGACGCCTTTTGACATTAACAATTATTTTTTTTGTGTGATACAGGAATATCAGGGCAAGCGATATCATGTGCTAATTACCCAGGAGTTTGTTTTCTTGTCGCCACCTTTTAAATTAGTTGCAATATCGCTAAGTCTTTGATTAGCTTTGGTTATTTTGAGCTCTAGTGTTTAGTAGACTTTTCTCACAGAGATATCCTACACGTGGGCCACACCTACTCCGTACACACTTAAAAACCATTATGGCTCTCCATTTTCTTGTTCTGGCCAACTGTCAGCCTCCCACCTCTGTTCACTCGAGAAACTGTCACGCAAGTTTTGTAAAATTGGCTGCTGTTAAAATGATAAAAGTAGGCAGAGACACTATACAGTGGGGAGTCCACCCCAACAGTCCAGTCTAACCCTTGACGCCCCTGTCTGAAGCTGAGGACACTACACGGCGCGGCCCATTGGAGTTCAGCTTAAGTTACCGTGATAGATTCAGTTGCCATTTCATTAGTTGAATAGATTCTCAGGTATTTCCCCAATTATATAACCATCTGGACAGACTAACCATCTCCTGCTCTAAGAATAGAAACAGTACTTGAAAGAAGAGATGCTTCCATATCTGGGATGATAACGTTATTATTTTGCCAGATTATGGCTGAGCATTGCTTTGACATGAGGTTGCTGCATCAGGGGTGCATCAATCCTTCACTGCTTTTTTTTAAGAACTGTCTGTCCACCCTCCTTCCTGTGGTGTGACTGTTGTCTCTGTCCCAATCACTGAAGGCAGCTCCAGTGTCTGGAAAACTGAAAATAGTCCATTTATTTTTCAAAGTTGCCCAAAACTGCAGGTATAGAGAAACAACTCTTTGACTTGTTTCTTTTTAATGTGGTCGTCTTTAAAAGCCAATCAAAACAAAACGTTGTTACTTATATGTCACTTTACTTAAAGTAAATATGCAGTGTGTTTACAAAGTAAACTGTTTTCCTGTGACAGGAGGAAGCTGATGCTTGACTTACTTTTAGGGAGGAGGAGTCTTGTTCTATCAAAATACTAGTGAAGAATCTTGAAGACATCAATGTTAAATCAAAGCTGCCTTTGAACCTCTTCATAAGGTGTTATTTTGTTTGTAATGTATGAAGTTATATACGTATTTGGTTAGCATAATATTTTTTTCAGGGGCACAC